CTCAGAGAATTCAGAGTCACTAAACCCTGAGCCACATGGCAAAATCCTTGCATAGGACTTCACTCAACAACTCAGCAGCTCATGCATTAATATGATATCATCTTCCAGTGGACTTGGATAAATAACACGGTCAAAGGATTTGGTCATGATTGCACTGATGTGAATATTTTGTGTGAGATGTCAGCCTGGAGAACTTTGCCCTGACATGATTTCATACTCACACCACCTTCAGTTGTACGTAAATGTGGCCAACAGAGAATCAGGGAAGAAGGACAAAGATGGCAGTTTCAAGCTGCTGTTTTCTGCGAGAACCACTCGAGCTAATTGAGTGTCTGTGACAGAAAGCCCCGACGGGATGTTGCTGGTCACTGCTAAAAGGGTCAGGAGATTCAAAGTGAAGCGTGACGTGCATGCAGGCAAGCTGTGCAAAGACCCGTCCATGTCCTCTCATGGGACGTGGATAAAAACTTGAGTGGTGCCTGCTTGGTAGTGGTGCTGTCTTTAGGATGGCTTTGCTCTAGAACAAGAAAAAAAAGGGACTCAAGGTGGAATCTGGGTTCAAAATTTGTTGATTTTTTTAATGCTTTTAAAAGGCTCTTCTGTAATGTATCAGATCTTACTGACATTCAACACTAATCCAGCTGTCATCTGATCTCTCCTGTCTTTATACAGCAACTAATCCGCCCCTCCAAGGTGTTGTTTTTCACATGTGCTCGTGTGTGTGTTTGTGTCACCAGGACCTGTCCACTCTGCAGTGCGACGTGTGTATCCTCGTCTTCTCCGTGACTGACAGGCGGAGTTTCCACCGCACCGCCCAGCTCCGCCTCCTCCTCAGGGAGGCCCAGCCGCAAACACCAATCATCCTGGTGGGCAACAAGAGCGACCTCGTCCGCTCGCGAGAAATCAGCGCAGAGGGTAGGTGCAGAAGGGGGTCTGGGTCTGTGATGGAAAACGGTCATTGGTGCCTGCAATGTATTGTCGAATAAGCCATGTCCCCTGAACTGTGACCGTTCAGTTATGGTTTAGAAAGCTTAACTTGACATGGCAGTTCTGTCAAGCAATTAATTTATCTGCCTCCTGAAGCAGTGGGCATGAATAAATGATAAAAGAGACACTCAGTATTAAGGGAATGTCACAAAGGGTACCCTTCTATCCTCGCTAAAAACACAGGCAAAAACACAATTAATGCATGACAAAAGTCTTGTCTCCAAAACCAGTCACTGCTCACTATATAATGAGTAGGGCTGGGACAAAGTAGAGAGCAGGATTATGTTAGACAGTTGGGTAAAAAAGTTAAATGATAACGCACAATAAGAAGAGAAACTGGCACTAAATTGCAGAGAATAAAGACATCCTGTACTTTACCTCTTAAGTAAAGTACAGGATCTTAGGGGCATTTTGTATTTTCCAGTTAATCAGAAAGCCTGATGTTTGAGTAAGACTGTCTTAATATATATCTAATATTGCAGAATCAATGTATCTGGATGTTATTGCTGTCATAGGCCACAAGTCAAATCTTATCATGCTGAATTGTATCGTATTTACATAACGTATAATATAGTATAGTATAGTGTTGAGTGAGTAACCCTGTGATTCAAAAGCCTCATTTTTTGTCCGAATTTTGAGTGAAAAATATACAACACCCTTTGATTTGGACTATATCTTATAATTTTGTATTCATGGTTCAAAATCTATTCACATTTTTGAGTTATAATCTGATCATTTTTCAGGTCATTCCAAAAAAAAAAAAAAAAAAAAAAAAAAAAAAAAATTAACATTTTCCATTCCGTTCCATTTAACTTTTTCACCCCTCAGGGCTTAAAAAAGAAAAAGTGCCAATATAATTATTGCCACAGATAAAAAAAAGTGTCTGAAAGTATCATCTCATTTGGCAGTAGTTGTTTAACCAAAGTTTCTTTTTCTCAGCTTTTAAACATAGATAAACTATAATAACAGTTTTGCCAAACAGAGGAACACAAATGATCTTGCAGTTCTAACTTTTAATTCATGGTTCCACATATGAATCCTTGTAATCTCGTTCTAATTACTGGTTGGACTGAGTGAGCTAATGGTCCGGAGAGAGGAGAGGTATGAGCTGCCAGCACTTGTGAAAGAAGGTGTTGCCAGATCTCACATGAAAAGATATACTCGTGTTGCCAGATCTGGTCTCAGAGAAGCAGACAGTGTTTGGAGGATATGTGGGAAGTGAAAAATGGGTCCCACATTGACATGGGTAACTTTGTGAGGAAGCAATCGGTCATAATGTGTGCCCACATTCACTTACTTTGAGTGAATGGACTCAGGACATGGACCGCTTAGCACCAAATGGGCACAATACAGTCACAGGAAATTACTTTTTGAACCGCCTCTGACCTAAGCCAACCTTTCTCTCGCGGTGAAGACTGACTTCATTTTGTGGAGTTACAAGCCGTGTGGGATGAAAGATCCCTGTTCACTGAGAGCACGCACGCTGATTGATTTTCACTGCTGTGTGGCGGCTCATCGTTCAGCTGCTCTTTGTTTGGGAATTTACACCTAAGCAGACCCAGACAAAATCATTACCCGGGAACTTTGTTGTTCAGCAGACACCGTGGTTAGTCCTCCTAAAAGCCCTTTCTTTTGAAGCTAGACAGGGAAACTGGCATCAAGTAAAAGACTTCCTATTAAAACTGTAACCTTTGAGATTGTAACAACATCAAACAATGATTGCGATGTAGGGACAGAAGAATCTCGGTCATCATTACTTGATCTTTACTGCATATCCATGCTCTCTGTAAACGTTGTGTTTACAAATATTTTGGGTCGTAATCTCTGCTGTCTGAAGATTTGAGTCTGAAGAGAATCAGGTCCAATCCGTCCTGCTGTTATTATGTCCATGCTTCCCTCTGTCAAGCTGCAATGTTTGGCTATTGAAGTGAGCTTATGCAAAATGTGTTTACTGAGGCCTGCATAAAGGAAAAGAAAATGCATTGGCTATTGGATTGTATTTTCATTTTTTAAATGAAGGAAAACACAAGATTCTGATTTCTATACTTCCAAAAAACATAAAAAACTTCAAACTTTCAAGTGGCAACATAGCAAACATGTACTCCTGAAAATTTCTTGAAAACTTAAAGGGATACTTCAACGGTTGAAAAATGAATCTGTATTGACATTGGGTCATATATGTAGTAGAAATGTGAAATACATTTTGAAGTTGGTGCCTTCTTGACCGAGATAAGGCAGAAAGTGTCTTTTTGGCTCCTGTGGATGAAAGACACCAAATCCCAGAATGCACAGCTCCGCCCCAGCTCCTCGTCCTTCACCCCCTCTAACCAAGAATTCTAAGAAATACAGAGCTTTCCCATCTCAGGGGAAAATGAGAACGGGATGCACGACCATTCAAAAATACTACCAGGTTTCTAATGATACAAAGCTTAATGCAAATGGATGAAGTATCCCTTTAAGGACAGCATCCTCAACATTTTCCTGAGTCACCCTTTCTCACATGTCCCTCACAGCGGGAGATAAGGCCTGTTGCACGGGGGTCTTGGGAGGCAATACTTGAAAAATGTCCAAGTATAGTGTTTACAATGTATCCAAGACTGCAGCTCAAGCAACAGAGTCAGACACGCTGATGACGGTTCTTGCATTCATATCAGTGCTACGTGTAATCAGATGTAGTCATGATATAGACAAAAAAAAGCAGAGAAGAACACACTGGGGAACATAAAAGAGTAGCTTCATTTCGTGCACAATGATCGCCCCCGTCCCGTGCGCTGGGTCACGCGTAATGTAAACGATCCCCGCCCATTCCTTAATATTACTAGCTGCATTCACACATCGGCTCACCAGACTTCTTGTGGATTTTACGAGGGCTGGTTAGAAAAAAGTTCTGTGGTAAAATATTCACATTTACACATACAGCTCACCCTCAAGAAAAGCTTTGCACATGTGTATAGAGGTCTCATGGAAGCAATTACTTTGGGGGCTACATTGAAGACATCCTTCCACAGAAATGAAGATTATAATGATGCAATTTTCTGCAGTTCTACGTTTTCAAAGACTTTGGGGGGGCATTATATAAAAACCTCAATAAATCCGCCTCTTGAAGTTCATTAATCTCTCACTTTAAAGTGTTGAGATAGATCTCTCCATGCGTCTTCTCAATGCCTTAAATCTACAGATGCTGTTCACTATGGAGCATTGAGGTTCATAACAAATCACAAGGGCCGAACTCATCATTGTAGTCTGTACGCTGGAGCTGGCTGGCCTGCATGGACCTTCTGTCGACTAAATAATCGGCTTGTCCCTATTTATTTGTAATACTTAACTTGCTTCCCTCATACTTGTACAATCTTTTTTGGAAATACAGTCACAAAGGGTATTCTTGTTATCTGTTTTCAAAATGCGTCTAGGAGTTGGAAAAAGGAGTTTAGTTGCTTATGCTGCAGGAGGGTTTGGGTTTGGTGGAGCTGGTCTCTTTTAAAATATTTTTAAATGTCCAATAAGGACGTTTGAGGGTGATTCATCTGGTTGACGATGCTTTGACTCGTGACTTTTTGCTCTGTGACCCAGCATGTGTCGACCTGTGCTTGTAGTTTTTTTATGTACTGTATTTCTGTAACTATGTAAAGTTTACACTGAAATATCTAAATTGACGACACTTGTGTGATACATATATTTGTTTTTTGATTATTTACATCATCTCTAATATTTCCAGCAGTTATTTAAGCCAGAGAAATCCCTAATTTCATAGTTGTAACAGCCCCTGTCTATGATGGCACAACGTCTTTATTGTTGCCATGGAAACATAGAATGTTACGTCAATATCTGCTGCATAAGGAAGCGGGAACTGCTACTGAAAGCTGCCGTACTGTTGCTGTATGTGCTGCTGTGATAAAAACGTCATTTAAATTACACTTGGAAACATCGTCTGTAAACATATTCTCTTCCTCAGGTCGGTTTCGCCCGTTTGTCTTGATTACTGTCAACTCGGAGTTCATTTTCATCAGGGGTTGGGGGCTTCTTTTGTTGTTGTTTTGATTGAGAGCCCCCTGGCGGAAGAATTTACATACGTGTGAATTTAAAAGTACTGCTGCCTGGCATGGTCAGGACACTCTTGTAAAAAAGATTCTTAATCTCAATGAGCTTTCCCTCATTAAATAAGTAAATATAGGAATGAAACAAAAAGTGAAAATGATTCGCTTCAACAATAAATTCCACTTTTTCTAAAAATGAAAAGCCAAAACTTTGTTCTGCGTCACTCAAATATTCAAAGTGTTTTGAATTAAATTGACAAGAGACTAACTCCACGTCCACTGTGACATTTGGGTGAATCAGATAAAAAGCTGCAGGTGAAAGCAACCTGCCAACCAGGTAATAGCTGTATTTCAAACAGGATGCATTTGAAGCAGCATGAAAACAGATGAGACTGAGCTCACGTCACATCCCAGCGTCTGCTGCAGCTGCCAATAAAAACTCACTCGACAAGGAATATAGCCTCTGTACATGGGGCGCGTGACATAACCGCTAGGCCCCCGGGGGATTTCATGTTTTTAACTTAACATTTTTACTCATTCGGAAAAATGTAATCTACTGTTCACTTTAGTTACACTCCGTTTATCTGTGACCTTCACCTCCTCCAGCAGCCATGTCTATCAGTGTGTTGTGTATGTTCCACCTTCAGATGAAAACAGACAATTTTTAGGACAAACTTGCACCGTGATCAAAGAGGATGTGCGGCTTTTTGAGGGGATAATTCATAAGCAAATTCAAATAATACATTTGCCGCGTAACATAAAATGATCCTGTCTACCAATACCAATGAAATAAAGGTGTTAAATAAAAAAAATCATATAATATTACAAAAATCTGCTGGCAAATGTGCCCCAACCTTGGATGAGCTCAATGCCCGTGTCTAAGGCTTCTTCAAC